TCTCTCTCTCTCTCTCTCTCTCTCTCTCTCTCTCTCTCTCTCTCTCTCAAGGATTCCTCACAGAATTTGATGCTCACCAGAGCTCCAGGGAGCCTGGTGTCTCTGCTTTCCCAGCTTTGGGATTACAGTAGGTCACCATGCCTGACTTCTACATGGGTGCTGGAAATCCAATCCAGGTCGTCATACATGTGCAGTGGTACTCTATCCACTGAGTCATCTTTCAACTTCATCTCATAGTCTTTCAGGCATCTCTAGATGATACTTTATACAATGTAAATGGTATTGAAATAGTTTATATGTTATAAGATTCAGGGAAGAATGACAAGAAATCATGTGTACATGTTCAGCGTGGGCTCAGGTTTTTTTTTTTTTATGCTTCAATCCATAGTTACTTAAATCTGTGATTGCAGGACCCTTGGATATGAAGGGCTGAAATGTGTATGATATGTCTAGGGTAGGAAGGTAAGAAGAGATAGAATGAAGATGAGCAGTGACCTGGGTTGAGAAGTGAGTAGTTAAGAGGGAATGGAAAATGGCTGCCTAATGGTGTCTAGTTTTGTGTGTGTGTGTGTGTGTGTGTGTGTGTGTGTGTGTGTGTGTACTTACATATGGATGCTCACAGAGACCAGAGAAGAGGGCATTGCTTTCCTTGATCCCCTGAAGCTGGAGTTACAGGTACTTGTGAATTTCATGAAGTGGTGCTGAGAACTAAACGCAGGTCCTCTGCAAGAGCAGTACATGCCATTTCTCCAGCTCTGACACAGGGTTTCTTTGAGGGCCAATGAAAAGAGTCTAAAATAGACTGTGGTAGCTATACCATTCCGTGAATGTGCTAAAAACCATCAAGTTGCACACTTTCTGTGGAGAAGTGTGTGGTCTGAATTGTATTTCACTAAAGTTATGAAAACGGCCCTGTAAATCTTAGGGTATTTTTAGAAAACAGCGTATTTGGGGGGAAAGATTATCATTGGTGTGTGTAGGTGCCTTCTCATTCTATTCCTTGTTTTAGAATTGAGTTGTTTTAAATGCACACATAATAGCTTCATTTAGAGAAACCCAAACTTGAAGTCTTTTTCCTGCAATGACCCCCAGCTGTGTGCCAGCAGCAGGCCGGTGGAGCTGTCTGGACTTGGAGTTTGCATTGCTGAATGTGACAGAACTTTCCCAGGTTCTTTGCTGTGCAGTGCTCATCCCCTCCAGCACCAGTCAGCCTGCAGCTGTGCCTCGATGGCTTTATGGGGATCTCAAGAGCAGGGCAGGGCTGGGCACGTGGCTCAGTTGCTGGGAGTGCTTGCCTAGCATGCATAAGACCTGGGCTCCATTTCCAGTGCTGCATAAACCGAATATGGTGGTGCACACCTGTAAATCTCAGCACTTGAGAGGCAGGGGAAAGAGAAGAGGAGGTCATGGTCAAGGCCACTACATTTTCTTTGTCCATCCATTTGCTGTTAGGCATCTGAGCTGGTTAACTTTGCTATTGTGCATGATGCCGTGATGGCCATGCAAGGATTTCTTTGGCTGTAGTCCCAGAAGTAGGAGAGCTGAATCACAGGCTAGATCTACTTTCAATTCTTTCCCATAGCATCCACACTACTTTACATTCCTGCCAAAAATGTATAAGAATTCCCTTTCCCCCATGCCTTAGTCAATGTTCTGTCACTGTTAAGAGACACTATGACCCAGGCAACTCTTACAAAAGAAAGCATTTAATTGGGGGGTTACTTACAGTTTAGAGGATTAGTTCATTATCGTAGTGGCAGGAAGCATGACAGCAGGTATAGCAGACATGGTGCTGGAGAAGAGGTCGAAAGCTACATCTCGATCTGCAGGTACAGAGAGAGACACCAGGCTTGGCATGGGCTTTTGAAAACTCAAAGCCTACCTCCAGTGATGCACTTCCTCCAACAAGGCCACACTTCCCAATCTCTCTAATCCTTTCAAATAGTGCCACTCCCTGGTGACTAAACATTTAAATATATGAGCCCGTGGGGGCCATGCTAATGCAAATCACCATACCCCATATCTCATCAGCATTTATTTATTCATTTATGTTATTTTTGTGGGGTGTATGTAAGAGAGGGGTTGTGAAAATACATAGGTATATGTGCTTTTGTGTATGGACACCATTAGGTGTCTTCTATATTCACTCTCTATGTTTTGTGGTGATATATTGTGTACCCTAATAAAATTTCCCAGGTCAAAGAAGCAGAGAGCAAGCCACAGCCACCACCTCTTATCTCACCAGCTCCTCAGCCTGAAAGAGCTCCAGCTGAAAGGGGTTCCTCAGCTGAAAAGCCTTTAGTTCCTGTCTCCTCACACCTTATATACCTTTTTCCGCCCAATCATCACTTCCTTCCTAGTGCTGGGATTAAAGGCGTGTGTATTTCCCAAACAAAGGTATGAGTTCTCAAGTGCTGGGATTAAAGGTGTGTACCACCACTGCATGGCTCTGTTTCTCTCCTAGACTGAGTCAATCTCATGTAGTCCAAGGCTTTGCACTCACAGAGATCCAGACAGATGTCTGCCTCCTGAGTGCTAGAATTAAAGGTGTGTACCACCACTGCGTGGCCTCTATGTTTAATCTAGTGATTTGTTCTGATCTCTGATCTTCTGGCAAATTTATTAGAGTACATAATATATCACCACAACCTTTTTTATTTATGTATTCATAAATGTTTTTTATTAATTCGTTGAGAATTTTATATAATATATTTTGGGCATATTTACCCTCTTGTAACTTGAAGTTTTCTCCAGGTCCCTCCAAGCCCCCGCAGTCCCATGGCCCACTTATAAAATAATCACTCAGAAGCTTAAGTTAATTATAACTGCTTGGCCATTAGCTCAGGTCTACCACTGACTAGCTCTTACATTTAAACTCAGCCCATTTCTGTTCATCTATATGTTGCCACATATCTGTGGCTTTACCTGTGTGTCATTACATGCTGCTCCCTGGACGGCGGGCTGGCATCTCCTGACTCAGCCTTCCACTTCCCAGAATTCTCCTTCTCTGCTTATCCTGCCTATACTTCCTGCCTGGCTACTGGTCAATCAGCATTTTATTTATCACCCAATCAGAGCAACACATTCACAGCATACAGAGCAACATCACTCATCACCCTCTTCAATCTTCTTAGATCCAGATCCACCTCTCTACTCCTCAGTTTCACGTTCTCTTTTTTTTTTTTTTTTTTTTTGGTTTTTCGAGACAGGGTTTCTCTGTGTAGCTTTGCGCCTTTCCTGGAGCTCACTTGGTAGCCCAGGCTGGCCTCGAACTCACAGAGATCCGCCTGGCTCTGCCTCCCGAGTGCTGGGATTAAAGGCGTGCGCCACCATCGCCCGGCTTCACGTTCTCTTTTTTAAATATTTACGAATTCATTTTCCCTAATTATGCTGTCCACATACTTCGGGTGTGGAGCTACCCACAGGAGCGTGGTTGACCTACCAGGAGTCACAGCCCTAACACAAGCTAGCTCTCCCTCCTCTAGAAGCCACTAACTGCTCACAGCTGCTCAGTGAGAGGTGCGGCTCATGAGCCCCTTCCCATGCCACACTAGTGAGTTATGTAGACTGACCGTGTGCAGGTTTTGTGTAGGCAAACACAGCTCCTGTGAGTGCTCATGAGTCCTGCCATGTTCAGGAGACACTGACTCCAGGATCTTACAATCTTTCCACCCCTCTTTCACTGAGCCCTGGGGAGAGGTGTGCTAGAGATGTCTCGTTTGTGGCTGAGCACCCCATAGTCACTTACTCTCTACATTTGGACCAGTTGTGAGCGTCTTCGTTAACCACCATCCACTGCACAAAGAAACATCTTTAGACAAGTCCTGAGAGTTCCACTGGTCTATGGGCAGAGAGATGCAAACTCAGAGGGTAGGTAGTCAGGGGAATCAGAGGGAGGAAGGTTAAATGGGAGCAGAATGGAAGGGTAGGGCAGAGGAGGGGATGGGGGAGGGAAAATAAAGTCTAAAGATGTTTGTAAAAGTCACATGGAAATCTATTTCATGACCTTCATATATATATATATGAAGAATTTTAATTGGAGTTATCCTATACAAGGGTAGGATAATCATCCTATCAAGAAGTCATAAGCTGCCAAATAAAATGCTGGTGCCAGGTGTGGGATACTTCTCAAGTTGTTGGTTAGAATTATCCCAGGGACCCTCACAGGCTATTGCCATGGCTCTTGATTGCCCATCTGCTCACCAGAATTTGATGGTAAGACCATATTGCTTAAGATAGCACAAACAATGGCCACACAGACATGGAGAAATCAAACTGGGTACTGACCAGGAAGCTTCCTTCCTGTTGCCTAGCTCTCTTAGTGCTGGAAGGTTCTATGTGGGCTTCTCTCTCTCTCTCTCTCTCTCTCTCTCTCTCTCTCTCTCTCTCTCTCTCTCTCATCAACAGCTTTGCTGTGAACTCTGTGTACTGTGATAATGTCTGGCATGCCAAGGTCGGCCCATGGGTAAAATAGTGGCAAGACCGTTTACGGGGTAACCAACTACTTCCTGCTTTGATTTAAAACCCACTCCATGGGAGGAAACACAAGCATGGTACTGCAAACCTGGCCAAGGAGCTCACAGGCCCCAGGGGGTGAACCTACTGCTGTTATTTTTCCAAATTGATCCAATATTAAACTGCTCTCTAAATTTATTATCATATATATATATACACATACATAGTTGGGCAGGGTCTCTCACTCAGCCCATGGCTTCATCCATTGGGCTGAGGTGGCTGATCAATGTTTTAATTGCCTCAGGTTGCAGTTTTACTTATGTGGGTGTGAGGATCTGAATTCGAATCCTCTTGTTTGCACTGGGAGCCCTTAGGGACTGAGGACCGAAGCGCCTCCCCAGTCTGTCTCCCTCTCCCTCCTTCCTGTGTGTTATGTGGGCCTGCCTGCAGGCCTGTGTGTGGGGTTCTGTTTCCACAGCCTCAGGTCTTTCTCATTCTCTCTCTGTGGGCCTTGGAGAGTCAGGTGGGGACAGGGGTGGAGGTTGAGGCCAGTGGGCCGGGGAATCCGACTGTCTCCTCCTCCCCAGCACTGGCATTATGAATGCTCACCACCACACTAGGCCTTTTGAGTGGTCCCCCGGCATTGACCTAGTTCCTCGTGCTTACCCAGCAAGCACTTCACCAAGCGAGCCGAGCCTGCTCTGCCTTTTATATAGCTTGTGATGACAGCCACTGTGACTTGTTTGGGATGGAGTCTTGCTGTTTTGTTTTCCATTTCTCTGGTGACTAATAAAGGTATTGAACATTTTAAAAGGCATTTGGCATCATGGTCGAAACGCTTCAAGGTATTGGTTCAGGCAGTGCTTTCTAGATTGGACCCCAGGGCCCAGGAAACAAGAGCGCTTTAAAGCATAGACACACTAGGAGAAAGACCCAGATATGCCTGCCACCCACTCCCCTTGGGCTGGGGTTTTGGGGGCGGCTAGATTGCTTGCGACACCCTTTTGTGAGGGACAGAAGCATCACAGTGGTTTGCAAATGAGAAAACAAGTCTCCGAAAGGGGAACTCAGAGCCACGCAGGCGATAGAGGGAGAGCCAGCGGACTACCACATAACCATAATCTCGCTTCCGCCTTGGTTGTTCCTCTGGTGACAGCCCCTTCCCAGCGATCCTGCCGGGAAGGAGCTATTTAACTAGCACCGGAAAGGTTCAGGAGCAAACGCAGCTTTAAACTGTCTCAACAGGCAGCAGCCTGGGGCATTGACTCAGAGATGCAGCGTCCCTGCATCCTTGGGACAAGGGGCGCCCAGCTGTGCTGACTGAAGCGAAATCTTAGGACCTGGGGGAAATAGTTAACTTCTCTGATACCGGGAGTGCGGCTTTCAGCCGGCAGTGTGTTCAGAGAGTTGGCAGCAGAGAGAAAGAGAACCGAGAAACCAGCCAGGACCTGTGCGCATGCGCATGCTTCAGGCTGCTAACTGGAAGACCCTGCTTTGGGTGGGGGTAGCCTGGATTCCCCCCTCTCCCCCTCCCACCTCTCTGTCTCTGTCTCTGTCTCTCTGTCACACACACACACACACACACACACACACACACACACACACACACACACACACACACACACACACTGTTTTGGCTTGGAAAGTAGCTGAAGGCCTTGCTTGTGAATACCACCACCAGGCATTGCAGACTTCAGCAGCCTGGGTGCTTTCTGTCAAACTCCCCGAAGTGTCACTGCCAATGCGACACCTGGGAAATCATGGTGGGGGCTGGCTGGCGCAGGGCGCTTCGTTTCCAGACAGTTCCCAGAGGAGGTAAACTGCGTCATTCAACAGAAATGCCCCGTGGTGCTCTTGCGCTGAGCAACCGAAAATGGATAGGTTGGTCAGGAGTAAACCTGCCTGCCTCCTGCTGAGACTGGTTTGATGTGCTCCCACTGTGCCCTTAGGCTTCTGAACAAGTGTCTGCAATGTTTTGGAATACGTTTGCTTATTCTTGGCCACCAAATGGTTTGGTTTGTGGTGGTGGTGGGACCAGAGGGTGGAGATGAATTGAGCAGCGGTTGTCGATTTCCTCCGTCTTCCAACATCAAAGGCTGTGGACGACAAACTGAAGGACGGAGGGGTGATGAGGCAAGAGGAGGCAGCAGCAGCCAAGGCCAACCTGGTCCTGTGTGGGCAGGGCCTTTACAATGAGTTCACACACACACACACACACACACACACACACACACACACACACACACACACACGGGGATTCCCTCCTCAGAACAGCCCTAGGAGATCAGTTTCCACAGGAGCCACAGAGAGACTGGTCCATTTTGCCAGAGTTGCACAGCCATGTTCTCACTCTGCCATGATTCCTTCCTAGTCCCCGTTCCAGTCACTGGATCTATTTTGATTATATTTGGAAACTGCAGCCTCCTTGGAAGACATGGACTGATCCTTCTCCGTGAATGACCAGTACCCGGCATGCTGATTAAAGTTGCCAAAGTGACTGGATCCAGAACCACCTTTGGATGTGTCTGTGAGGTAGTTTCTAGATCGGGCTACTTGAAGTGGGAAAACTCCTCTAAATGTGGGGAGGATGGACTCCTGGGACAGCCATGCTTGTACAGCCTTGGTGAGATGGACCAGTTTATTGAGAGGTGAAGGCTACTGACGGCTGCCTCTCTCCCAACAGGAAACAACATACTTAACAGCCTTACAACTATTAAGGAAATGGAATTAATAGTTTACAAACCTCAAAAAAAAAAAAAAAGACATAAAAAAGAGAATCTCGAGGTTTGGAGTGTTTAATCTAAAAAATTATACCAAACAAATAATTAACAGCAATTCTATAAAACATAAAAGGGAAGAGAAAGGGATACTTCCTAATGAAGAAAGGCCTGTCTTTACTTCGAAATCACACAAATATGGTATGAACAAATGCTACTCAACTCCCCTCATAAATACAGACACAAGTGTTCTTGTTTTCATTTCTTTGTTTATTTTTATTTGTTTTTTGGGACAGTGTCTCATATAGCCCAGGCTGGCTTCAAACTCACTCTGTAGACAACCTTGAGCTTTGATTCTCCTGCCTCCAGGGTACTGAGATTTCAGGCGTATGCCACCATGCCCTCTGTGTGTGTGTGTGTGTGTGTGTGTGTGTGTGTGTGTGTGTGTGTGTGTGTATGTGTGTGTGTACATATATGTATATATCAATGAACCAAACTGTAGCATGAATCTTAAAAGTTCTTATTAATAAAATCAAACCCGAGGCCAGTTATTGGGGTGAACACTGGAAGATCAGAGAGACAGAACAAGCCACAGGCCAACTTCTCAGCTGATCTTGTTTCCTCAGACTGGAAGCCTCTGTGTCCTCATCTCCAAATGGCTCTCAGCTGAACTGTGCTGCTCAAAACCTAAAAACTTAACCAGCCAAATGCTTCTAGTTTCTGGTCCTCACACCTTATATACCTTTCTGCTTTCTACCATCACTCCCTGGGATTAAAGGCGTGAGTCACCATGCCTGGCTGTTTCCAATGTGGCCTTGAACTCACAGAGATCCAGAAGGATTTCTAGCCTTTGTATCTAGTGGCTATTCTGTCTCTGCCCCCAGATTTGTTTATTAGGATGCACAATATTTTGAGGAACACAATACCACCACACCAAAAATGTGGTGCACACCTTTAATCCCAGCACTTGGGAGGCAGAGGCAAGCGGATCTCTGTGAGTCTGGTCTACAGAGTGAGTTCTAGGAAAGGCTCCAAAGCTACACAGAGAAACCCTGTCTCAAAAAAAAAAAAAAAAAAAAAAAAAAAAAAAAGACCAAAAAACAAAAAATAATAAAATAAAATAAAATGGAAAGATTTGCTCAGCAGAAAAAGCCCTGATTGAGAGGGTGGATGGCTGAGCTACAGCTTGGAAGAAATATTTGCAAACCACAAATCTACCGAAGAACTCCTATCTAGGATATATAAAGAACTCATTAAAAAAAAATCAAGAAGATTCAAATAAAATGTGGGCAGGATATGCAGAGGGGTCACATGAATGGAAACAGATTCATGACTAGTCATGGGAGACGAGCAGATAAACCCACAGTGATGTCTTGGCAGTGAGCTGTGAGGACAGCTAACACGGAGCACTACCGTGGGCCAGCTGCAGGAGAGCAGAGAACCGGGTTCTCTCCAGTGGGGATGGGGAGCAGTATGGACTGTCTGGAAAACACCTGGTCAGTTTCCTAAAGACACGAACAATAAATATAAAACTATAGTTCGGATGCCAAGCAGCCTAGCCACTGCACTCCGGGGCGGGCAACGTGGAGCTAAAAGTCAAACTCACCCCGGGGGAATTCGTGCCATGTCTACCTGGCGCCGTAAGTGATTGATCACATGGAAACCCCCAACCGGAAACAGCTCAGCCATTCCCATAAGTGACTGCTGGTCTCTAGGCTGTGAGGATGGACTCAGCTACATGCCATGACCTGAATGGAGTGAGAGGATGTCACATTATGTGGGAAAGTCAGTTTCTAACTGGCACTCACTGTGACATCCGTTTTTACTTTTATAATGTGGGGAGAAGAAATGTCTGGTTTCTAGGGCCTAGAACTGGGGTCTGATGGTGAGAGGGGTGAGTGTGACCATGAAGAGTGAACACCCGGAGGTAGTTCTGCCTCTGTGCATATGTGTGTGCACGTACGCAGAGGAAAGAGGTCATTCCTAAGTGCCATTCCTTAGGCATCCCCCACCTCTGTGTTTGAGACAAGGTCTTTCATTGGCCTAGAATTCATTGCTTAGGCTAAGCTGGCTGTCTGGTGACACCCAAGGACCAGCTCATCCCTACCACCACCGTGCCCCCAGCACTGAGATAGAAGCACAGGGCACCAACTCCAGCATTTTAACACCTGGATTCAAGGGGTAAAATTTAGGTCCTCATACTTTCAAAACAAGCATTTTGTCAACAGCTCAAGTTTTGTGTCTTCATTGCAGTGGTGATCTGAGTGTACACGGGTGGTGAGGGTCTAGGGACCACATACACACACACACACACACACACACACACACACATTCACATACACACATATATACACATACATGTGCTTCCTCCTGTCAGGTTCCTGATTTGAGGGTTGTATCATGCTAAAATTAAGTAGAATGTGAAAGGCAAACAGATCTTTTTCATTGTGTCCTTATGTTTGTAAATTCCTCTGAACTTATAACTGTTTCAAGAAAGTTAAAATTTTTAACTAATTAAAAAAATCAGAAAAGCCACCTTTCCTCCTGGAAAGAGACTTCACAAGGTACAGTCCTCTGTTCCGCTGGTAGTTTGAAGGGATGTTCCACCCTAATGGCATCGCAGCTGGTGGTGTGTAGACATCCCAGTGAGTAGCACAAGATTGGTGTTTGGCATGAGGCTGGTGGGTGGCAGAAACCATGTGCGCATGTCCCCAGGACTTGGTTTGGAAGCAAGCTGCTGTTGCTGCCACGTGTGGTCTTGATGAGAAAACTTTGAACTCTAAATAACCTCTTTCAAACCGTGAAGGACAACTTTTAAGATGAAAATGTGATCATATAACAAAAAGCAGGATCCCAGAGTCTCCCAGGAAGCCAGGAGAAAGGTGTGGGCAGCAAGTTCTTGGTACCCAGAAGGCAGTGCTCTATGCAGAAGGTACATGGCCGCATTTTGCTAAGAGGGACTGAGGGAGGCCTGTGACTCCAGCTTGAGACACAGGCAGGGTTCCCACCTGGCATGCCTCCTCCCGGGCTCATCCACTCATCTCCCTTTGGTTAGCCTAAGCATCTTGGTTGAGAAGCATGATGCTTGGGTTTCCCAATTCATCTTTAAGTGTCTGTCCGGGTGTGCACTGGGGATGTGAAGCCCTGTGTGTGCTCACACTTCCTGCCTTCGGTTGAACGGAATCTGCTCCACTCTGACTCAAGGTTG